ACCTATGCCAGCAGCGATGGCCACAGTCCAGATGCCTCCAAAGTCCACAACAACAGTTGGCAGCAACAGTTGGCACCACCAGTCTCTCTCCTCCTGGTACTTCTTCTCTGGAATTCCTCCTCAGGTCTCAGGATTCAAAACCACCCCCCTCCCTTTACTCTTTATTATTAAAAACCGAGGCTAGAAACCCCAGCCAGCTCCTTTTCTCCACACTCTCGCTTGCCTCCGTTTCAGATATCCTCCCACGGAGGAAGCAATAAAACTTCACTCCCTAGCCTCTATTTAAAATACCCTTGATAGAATAATAAAATAAGCTTCCAGACCTTCTCTTCTCAACTCCAACCCACGGCCTTCTCCTTTCCTTTCCTTTTCTATCCTTCCTCCTTCCACTTACGCCAGCCACACCCAAAGCCAACTGCAGCTGTCCCAATCTTTTCCTTCCCAGTCAAGCTCCTGCAAGCACTCTCAGGCAGTCCCCGCTACATTTGCAAATAATAATATTAAATAAAGATTCTAACTACCAGCAAGAATGAGTCCTTACATGTAAAGAGCACCTGTCATTTCAGATCCATCATGGCAGTGCCTATTAGCGGGCATCCACTCACCTGCTGCCTGCCACGTCCCTCACCTTGCTGTGTTACTGCCACATCACCAACCGTCCCATTAAAGTGAATGGGACTGTCGGTGAGTCAACAGCAGGTCAAAGGAGGAGCCACTGCGGGACAGAGATGACAGTTCCTCTTTAAAAATTATGATTTAAATCGAGCTGATATAAATCAAGCCTTTTTACTAGTGATTTAAATCGTGATTTAAATTGACTTGATTTAAATCAAATCCACCCTGATTACTAAGAACCACAAGATCAAAGTTTGAATGTACCAGATGTTCCAACTAGCAGTTTTATATACAATGTTCTCTATCTATCACCCCAATTAAGTACATCTGGTTTAGACTGGAGTGAAAATAGATGATTTATCAGCTACCACAATACTTGAGAGGCGTCAAAAGGTCATAAAAATTTTTGAGGCGCAGAACAGCCAGTTGAAAATTTACAAACAGAAAACATATCAGCTGAGTGTTATCTAATATAAAGCAGATCTGAAGCTAACCATATGAAGTTCAAAGAGAAATTAGGAAATGGGTTTTTTAGCTTACAAAAAAAAGAACAAAGTATTCTTCTTCAAAATGAAGCAATGAAAATCTATTTCAAAATCCATACTAATGTCCCTTTGTAATATTCATTCATATCATATCAGAGTTGGGAGGCAAAAAGCAGTAATACTCACCCATCATTCCACATGAGAAGAGAGTGGAACCTTGACTCATCTTCTTTGGAGTGTGCTGAAAAGAAACGTAAGACCTAATCACATATTTTTAGGAATTATACTGAAATCCAGGCCATGTATTATAACATCTTCATTCCTAATGGCAGACAGGCTATAAATTCAGGTATACAAGAAAAGCTAAAATGACAGTGACAATCGTCACTTGTTCTACTATTTTGTAATTTTTATTCATTGAACAATATTCAAAACTGCACAAAAAGCTAATCCAGAGAAAATATTAAGTTATAAATCTGTCAACATACTAAGAGAAGATATAAAATTTGCAACTGTCCACTCCCTTTTTTCTTTAGAATTATATTGATTAATTAAAGAAATAATATTTAAAATTGTATTTTTTTTTTAAGTTTACTACTTCTATTAGTAAATTGATTTCATAGGGATGATCTTGTTCTTAATGGAATAAAGTTGAAGCAATAAAAATCAAAATTACTCCATACAGAATAAGAAATAATCTAAATTGTATTGTTATAAATCTTTTTAAACTATTCATTTATGTTAGTATTGTCGCCATTGGATTTTTATTAAAAAAAAGAAATAGAGACACTGCAGGAATCAATAAGAGAAATTTGTCCAGTGACTTCAGTAATGGTTCTAAAGTTTAACTAGTTGGCTTGTTTTTTTAATAAATCTAGTACTGTTCATATTTTGCTCCTCTTTCCCCCTTCTAAATCATTTAATTTGCCAAAAAAGGCAAGTTATTATAGAAGAAAAGATACTTAAATTTATATTAACAATGTTGTATTCGGGTACAACATTAATGTGAATAAATTTTATGTTTCATTTTATTTTATTTTTGTTTTTTACCCTGAATCATGTAACACAATGTATCTATTGAGAAATAAGTTTTATTGAACTAAATAGATTGTGTGCTAAGTAAATTCAAAGTTCATACTGCATGCATTAAAAGCTGGAGTGCTGTTGAGCAAATAAGTTCCACTAAATTAAAAATATAACATTTCCAGGAATTTTGAAGCACTAGAAAAATACTGTTTTTCCTATTTTTTGAGAGAGAGAGAGAGAGAGAGAGAGAGAGAGAGAGAGAGAGAGAAACAGGTGTGTGTGTGTGAAATATATACAATGCTTAATTTAGCATCCTTTATAGATATAAAGTCACTTTAATTTCATAAAATGCATAATATATAACTTGGGATCCTCACAAACATTTGGGGTGCAAAACTCTAAAGGGGGAAGTGGGAAGCAAGGCTCAGAATACATTTATTGCCACATGAGATGTTATTTAATCATTCTCTGTAGCAATCCCATCCTACAGTCACTGACACTCAGCCACAACTGAGTTGCAATTAATGGGGCATGGCTTCGATTACATATGCTGAGACATTATCTAAAACATCTTCCCTTTCTGCTCCATACAAAAGTTGAAATCCTTTCAGAATGAACTGGGAAGGATGGCTAGATAAAGCAGAAGATTACCAATGTCCATCTAAGCTCTTATTAAAATTTGGACTCTAAGAGAAGACAGATAAAATACAGGGAAACAAGCAGGACACTTTTGCATCAGGGATCCATTTTTTGCTAAGGAATATGCTTAGCCATAGAACATAGAATTTTAATTTTAAGTTATTTTTGTCTCTTGCTATTTGAGCATTATTGTCTTTGATGCTTATTTTCACTGTACAAGCTCAGTAATGTGTCATACAACTTGAAACCTCTACAGCAGAGTTGCTTCCCAAATACAAGCATATCAACATCATTTTATAACATTTACCTTTTTCCCCATCCCCTGGGAGATCATCTTAAATCAGAGCTGTGATTTGAACAGTTCTATCTTTTTATCTTCGTTACCACTGAATACTTTACATGTGACAAGCATCTAAAATGAAAATATGTTTACGTTCTTTTTTTTAAAATGAAGTTTGATTTTATTCATCTCTTGTGAGATTTCTGCTGAAGGGAAGTGGAAACAGCTCATCACCTTAGCCAGATGCCACAGGACCACAGGGCTAGGAGGTGATGCTACAGCATTTATTTCATTTATTTCTCTTTCTCCTTTTCATTTTAAATTTGCCAGAAAACTCAGATAGTAGGAGCCCTCTCTCACACACAAAACAGGTTAAGGGAAGGATACCAGATGAGGCATACACCTACCAGAAGACACACTAACTCAGGAGATGGAGATGGGTTGTTTGGATCTAAAGGGCTTCTGGAAAAAGAAGCTGAGACTGCCATCCTTTTACCTCACAGGTTCAACTCTTATTTCATAAATCTTGCATACTGACACTTTTTAAAATCCTATCCTTATTATTTAATATTTTTATAACATTTTGACAACAAAATATTTGCCCATATTGAAATACATTTCTCTACTCTTTTACCTTTAGTTTCTTTCCTAATCTGGGGTATGTGTATTTCAAAATTCAGAAATTTGTTTCATATCTTAACCATTTTATTAAGCATTATTTAAAATTAACACATTGGGGTATTTTCCATAATCATTTTTCACTACATTGGAAAACTGCAATCCTTATAATTTTATGGGATATTATAAAGAGGGGAAAAAAACCTCTGGGGTTTTCCCATTTTTTTCCACTTTTTCTGACCTTTACCTTGAAAATCTACATTCATCATTTATTCATAAAGCAAAGCTTAGGCCCAAGAACAAGATGAAAATGAGGAAATGAGACATTTTAAGATAGACATTTATGTCTATCTTAACTGCAATTTCATTTTATAATGATTAAACCATCTATCAAAATCAGGAAGTAAATGAGTATGTTATTTATCATTTACAATACTTCTCTTATAATAAGCAAATAATTTATTTTCTGAATTTCTAGTCAGATAACTTGATCCATAAACTTCTGAACAGCAAGATGTTTTTCTGTTTATCTACACCTGCTTTGCTAAAGTGTCCTTGGATACCCGGAAATATTAAATATTAATACTACGTTAAAACATGCAAGATACTTATCAAAATATGGTGCCTAAAAAACCAAACCAAAAGGTGGCATTAAATCTCTATTTCTATACTGAGAATAAAGTAATAGAGTAAGGGGGGAATATGTATATACACAAGTACATACAAGAAATTAATTATGATGTGAGAACACAAACAATGGAGACAGCATTTACATAGAATTACTGTGGTATTAGAATTATTCGGTGAAAGGTAAAGTGGATGTTCTCTAGAGATCTTGTTGACTGTGATATTTTGAAAATCAATCTATATTAATGAATGGTAGGGAGAGATTTAAATTTAAAGTTGGGAGGTATTTTATTATTTTTAAAATAGGCAGATTTTTATCACAGTTTTATCAGTTAACAATAATTGGATCAGAATTTCCATCACTAAGCAATGTGATCATAAAGCGAGACACCACGTGACCACATTGCTCAGAGATTGCAAACCCAGAAGTCCTCTTTGCCAACGTTAAGCAAGGTTTGTGGGTTATTAAGCGAGGCATTCCTTGCAACTTTCTGCCAACCACCCATAACCAAAGTCATGGGGAAGCCATCAGGAAGTTGCTGTTGACGTGCAAGCAGGCCAGAAAGCACGTAAATGGCTGCTGTTGGTTAGGGGGAGGTTGCACAAGGTGTGCAAATGGATAGTACAGTGTGGCGAAGGGTGTGTGAAAGTCCGGGGGAGAGCCCATGCAACATGAGCACAGTGTTCTTGGAGGCTTGGAATGGCTTGAAGTGGCTGTTGAGATTTATCCAAGCAACCTGTGACCTTCCCTGGCAGCTTGTCCACTGACTTGGCTTGGTTGGCAGAGAAGATCACAAATGATGAACATGTGACCTTGGGACACTGTAGCTATCTTGCAAGCTGGTTGCCAAGTGCCCAGATCATGATCATGTGACTGCAGGGGTGCTGGGATGGCTGGAACCTCGAGGACCAGTTGTAATTATGCATTTATTACTGAGGTCTACCAGTAACTGTTCTGAAAACCCATCACAGCAGCCTTGGCTTTCTGCAAGTCTCTCCTTGCTGCTTTGCATGTGAAGAAATAAATTACAAAGGACGCTTCGTAATTTGCCATAAATGTCAGTTTTCTGCTTCAGTATAATCAAACAGTATATTATAGTTTGCACATATCTTGTTAACAACTGTATAAATATTGCAATATGATCCTAATTAATGTCCTATAACTAATTATAATTCGCACAAACTATGATTTCTAGCATCTTTCATGTGTAACAGAAATTTCAACTTATTACAGCATGAAACATCTGCAGATGAAAGGAAAGGGAGGGATATGGAATGGGTGGGATTTAAGGCAACATTTGTACATGTTTATCTTTTCTCTGTTTTTTTCTTTAATGTCATAACTAACAGTAGCAAAAATTGCTATTTTGCTTTTAGATTTCAATGTTCAAATTGCAAGGAATCCCTGGGAAGCCTCAGCCACCAAGGCATTCCAAGACAGCTTTATGAAGACAGTGCTGTGTTCAGAAAGAAGGGAAAAAAGGAGGAAAGTAGGAAATGTTTGTTGAAGAAGCTGCCTCTGAAAAGAAGACAGCAAAAGATGAAAGGTCAGGCAGCTGGGCAAACAAATATGGGCTGGGCTGGGCTGGGCAGCAAATGAATGCTTGTTGGCATTAGCTGGTCAGGGAGCCACGTAGGACTGGGAGAGAAGGCAGCTGGGCGAATGAATGTTTGTTGGGGCGGGCTGGGGTGATTGAGGCTTCCTGGGATATAGCAAGCAGTCCTGGAGCTACGCAATCCTGGGGCTGCTTGCTGCCCCACAAGGCAGGGTGCAAGGTGCCAAAAGGGCATAGATGGATGGGAGGGGAAACAGGAAAGTAGGAGAAGTTGGAAGCAATCGCGACCTTATTGAGGCTCGGTATTCAGGGTCCAAGCCCACAATGGCTTGGACTGAGGCAGGTACTTGTTAACAACCCATGATTCTCAGTTAATGACCCAACAGGGAATGCTGGAAGTGCTGCTGTAAAATGGTGCAGTTACATAATGTCTAACTTTTATGACAGCAATTTATGACAGCAATCCCAGTTCCAGTTGTGGTTGTAAGTTGAGAACTACCTATATGGACAAGGCAATATTGTTTTCTAAATAGGATATTGGGCACACAAAACTCTTCTTGTTCACTCATTATTATGCTCACATTGGCTTAGAACCACACAATGAATATAGTTCCACATGCTGCAGTCTAAAATGGGAGCAGAGCCCTGTAATCTGAAAGACATAAATGCTAGTATATAAGCTGAGCCATCAGGGTGACATGAACTCTTACCAGTTCAGCCCTGCATGATAGAGAATCAGCACCTTTGTTTTCCAGAGTTGTAGTTAAGATCATCACCATGGTAACAAAGTCATGAACTGGGGTCCATTCCAGTAGAGGTAAAGGTCACAATTGGCCATATTAGGCAGAATATCCCATTCAGTGCATTTTCCCAGATGAAAGGATCAACAGCACCAATTCCCATCTGTTTTGTCAACTGGACAGCTTGACAAAAAGTAGTCCAAAATATTCACTTTCTGGAAGGAAAGAGAAAGGGGGGGGAATATAAAATACAAACACTCTGTAGTTATTCTTCAATTCCACAAATCATTGCACCAACATTATGTTTTGTGGGAAGTTTGCCCTTGCTCTTGCAATAAATCTGACAAGTTCTTGCATTTCTCATGTGTACCAGAGAAGAACACAGTGACCATAGGATTAAATTATACCTGCAGGAAGAACAGACAAGCCCTTTCCTTCCTACTTGAATTCTGCAGTTGCAAGAGACAGATTGTTAATTAAGGAGGACAGTGAGTAAGTGGGGAACAGTATAGTCCTGACAGCAATCAGCTAAGCAATCAGTAAAGTAACAAGAAAAGAAAGCTGTATATGCTGGCAACACAGAAGGAAGAGTCAAAGGCATGGGCTAAACAATTCCAAGTTACCTCTAAATTCTAACTTTTAAACAAGGAGCAGTAAACAAGCATATATTGAACACACACACATACATACACATGCACTTTAGAAACCTAATTCTATTGAAACATGAAATACAGTCATTACAAAGGCTCCAACTATAGGAAATAGTCTTCCCCCCCCAATAGACCAAGGGTCCTGCTATGAAAAAGAAAGAAACCTGTATGCAGATGGGCTTCCACAGATGGACAGGTATTTGTGCCCCAACTCAAGCAATGAAACCTGTGTGTGTCGTAGTATATACTAAACAGGAGAATATATTTTACTTGACATGTCTTGGATTATTAGAGGGGGGGAAAAAGGACTCCTCATTGTGTAGAAAAGCCTATTGGTTTACAAATTTGCACACTGATTTGCATAACAAAGGTGCATATGCTATATTCTGAGTCTATGGAATTAAAAGCACTGGCTTTAGCAAACAGCATGAGAGGCCACATCAGCAATGCTGACATGCATTAAGGAGATTTCTGCAGTACTGATTTATAGGTAGAAGTTTTACAGTGAGAAATAAGAAACAGAGATACTGTTAGGATAAGAAGGAATTTCCTGACTCTGGGAGCCATTAAGCAGTGAAACAACCTGCCTCCTGAAGTGGTGTGTGCTCCATCAGCGGAGCTTTTGATAAAATATTGGATAGCCATTTGTATGGAATAATATGTGAATTCCTACACTGGACAGGAAGACTCTTCCAGAGTTACTTCCAAGCATCTGCTGTCATGATCTACATCACTCTAGTTCTGGTCTGGTTCTTACACAAAGCAGTAACATAACTTGCTTTGTGTTATACAAATGCACCCTAGGATAAATGTTGTACTTTATTTGGCAACAAACTACTATTTGAAACTATAGTTTAGTCATTTACAAATCCTAACTTATTTTAACCATAGCTTGTCACTGCATCTGAATTCAAAATTCTGAACGTTTGTATGGTGCCACATCCATTTCTTTTGGGTCTTGGCAGAACAAATGAGAATTGGCCAAACAAGCTGTGATTACTTTGCTTAACTGGCTTGCTTAAATAGCTACAGTTAAAACATACACATATTCTGATAATACGGTATATTTCAACCACATCACACGTATCAATATAGTTAATCAAGATCCAGCAGGATGATTCTCCGTTGCAATGAAATTAAAAGTTGAATAACTATTTTGTAATTCGTGAATTTGTTTACACACGATCCAATTCCATTTATGTTCTGGATGCCTTCAAACCATTTCAAACTGAAATTCAAACAACTAAAATATATTTATACTGTATGAGCTATACAATAGAATAGGAAAGCAGTCAGATAGCCAAGAAAATATTTTTTTCAGCTTGTGGCAGGCCCAGCAGCTAGGTACTTAAATACAAAAATGGACAAATTACAAGTAAGATTAATTTGAAATCAATTTTCCAAAATAATTCCATAATCCTGTTTAGAATGTTGCTTTTTGCCAATATAAAGAAAAAGTGGAAAGTCATTAGCTAAACCACAATAAACATTTATTCTCTAAGATGCAATAAAATTCAAGCAGTCTTATATAATGATTTGGAATGTAGTGATTAGTATTAGAACTGGTAAGAGCCAAAATTAACTCTCCATTCAGCTTATAAATCATATTCTTCTTGTTTATTTGTATTTGAACGTGCAAGTAAGTGTCATTATATATATTCACTTAAAGATTAGCTAGATTAAGTAAAGAAAAATATTCTACTCTTTGTTTGATCAGAATTAGGTTCACCTAGAGTGCAGAACAATGAAAGGAATAAAATCAATACATTTTCTCAGTATTTACTAAAAAGAATGAAATATGATGGAGTTGGATCTTAGTGAGCATCATCAAATACAGTTTGCTGCTTGTTTCCTCGTTAATCAGCGAACAACCTAATGACATTAAGGAATCGTGAAAACAACAAGGTATAAAATATTCTCTTTGCTATGAAAGATACTCTTTACTGTGATTTATTAATGGCGCAAATACCCAACACATAAAATGTTCATTGTACAGCTCACTTTTTCCTTTTTATTTATTCCAGTCTAAACATAATGGTTTCCGAGACTACCATTCAGGGGAAAGGGAGGCCCAACCTTTTGGCTAAAAACATTTCATATCTTTATAATTCATGTACAGGTGCTGGGATTTTTTTAAAAAAGTACTTTAAAATTGACTCTGAAATCTTATGATTCATGCATTTTGACGCATTCATACAAATAATCCTTTGTTCATACTATTACAGTTGGTCTCATAGTCGGCTAGATGTTTAGACTGGATCTGACATTTTTATCCACCTATCAAGTCCGTCCCAAGGACCTGGGATAGGTAGATGTTGTTGCTTAAGGTGGTATTATTATTATTATTATTATTATTATTATTATTATTATTATTATTATTATTATTATTATTATTATAATATACTAAATCATATATACACAAGAACAGTATGATATATTATTGTGAGATATTATTGTGTATGGTTTTAAGAGCTAGTGTGACATAAGGTGATGAATTAGATGTGGGGAGACTCTCATTCTAGTTCTCCATTAGGCATGGAAGCCAGTTGGGAGACTTTGGACCAGTAAATTCTTTCTCAATCCTAGACTGGGAATCAAACAAAACCTATCAGCTTGCATGGGAGCAATATTATAGATTGCACTCTATATCCTACAGTGAAGAGACCTTGATCCTCCAGTGAGTTGATTTGATCTGATAAAAAACATAAAGTTTTATACACCATTCATACCCTCTTTCTTTTTTTCAATTTAAACATCCCCCTCCATTGCAATGTTGCATCATATAGAAGCTGCTATACTCGTTGTCTGCAGCTTTACCACCTCTACCATATTTTGTTTTGAAATCTAATTATCTTCATTGTAACCCAAGGCTAAGAGGGAAGTAATGAGTTGAAATGGCTAACAGTCATTTCTGGGAACTTCAATCTCTGAGAACTGGAACAGGTCTAGGAATATTTTCAGACTGCTTACTTGCTCTTAAAGAACAGGCACCTTTCATATCTTACATGTCTCAGAGAGTTAACACAAAGAAGACGGGTTAGAGGCCATTTTTTTTCAAGCAGAAACACTTCAGACTGATTAAGAATTCCTTTGAATGTTACAAGAAACAGTAATTAGCTATGCTCCCTTTGTGTGTTTCTCAGTATCTTGCTGTACAATCAATTCTTGATTATAATCTGAATTGGACCAAATAATGAATGATGAATTGGACTTGAAAATCTTACAAAATTTCATTGAACTTCAATACATGGAGTGATAGAAAGGTCTGCCTGGTAGCAATTACTTGCATTAGCACTGATAATGCAAAATAGACAGAAAGGAATATCTGGATGAGGGGGAATTTTTTATTTAAATAGAAATAAATATGCTAGAGATATGTAAGGCCTTAGAAGCCCCAAAAGTACAAATATTACTGCCTGGTGAGACAAAGACGGATGAAGAATGGAAAGAGAGAAAAAAACATATAAAAGTAGAAACAGAAAAGTATCATGAGAGATTGGAGCTAGGCAAAGGGAAAAATAGAATTATTAGCAACATGCAGATATTGCTAAATAAAATTATCTTGGTAACTTATAACACTTACTGAAAATAAAAGCCTATAACCATAATTCATAAAAAAAAAACTCAGTAAAAGTCTTATGAAAATGAGAATATTCAATGAAAATATTCTGAAAAATAATTATTGCAATACAATATGCTATTCTGAATTAATTATTTAGGAATATCACCACTGCCTATTTTTTTCTTTGAAGGTTTTTTTTGAAGGCTAATTCAAGCTGTTTAGTTTTTCTCTTAATATTGCCCTTCCCTGAAAAAAAAGTATATAACACAAATGTTGAGCACTACACTTAATCTACATATAATCAAAACACTTTTTTGTATTAAGAAGAACTTTCAGTGTGACAATTATGCTATACTTTAGGATAATCCATAGTTGTTGTTGAAAAGAAAGGTGGAAAATTGTATCTATTTTAGCAGCTCATGCCAGCAAAACCACTAGGGAGGATGCTGTGAGCTATAGTGGCATCAGGACATTTCTTCCATTCTGTCTTTGCCCTGCACAAACCAATTAAAATAAAACTAGTAAAAGGTGGGTCAACAGAAGAAAAAAAAAGTTGATTTTTCTACTGTTTTGTTCCAACTGTCACTCCTGTATTTATAAACAGTACATGCAGACATAAAGCCTGGTACTTGCGGAAGGCCTATTTAACATGAACTTTTATAGTATCATTTTGCCAATATTAAAATTTCTTTTCCACTCAGCACTTTTATTTGTGAAAAACAAGTGTAGCTCAGTTCATATTTAGTACTGCATAACTTGATATTTGTACATATCTGAAATGTTCACCATTAGAAGGTGGCAGCTCCACATGCTTGATGGCCAATATCTCCTGCAAGACAGAGGCGATGAGAAAGTGACCTCTGTAAGACCTCTTGCTCGACCTCATTCCAACAGGCTAAAGCTACCAAACTAGTGACCCCAAAGAGTCCTGAACCTTGACACAAAACCAAGAAAGTTGAGTTTCTGATTGGTTAAACTCACAAAGGCAGAAA